AGAGACAGACAATGAATTACTTTTATTCCTCGGGAGGGGTGCGGGGAGGACTCTCTCTAAACCAATGGTTTCTTAGTTACCACGAGATCCTCCTCTAAATCCACTATCCAGACCAACCCCCCCCCCCCCAATGGACCAACGATAACCGATTACCAATGTGTTCTGTTTTGTAGCAATACTGTAGTATTCACCGGTTTTAGACTAGTCGAGTAAAAGTCTGTCCAAAAATATCCTTTACCCTAGTCCTGTTTTCTCTCTCTTAAGAAAACAAGGACCTTTGAAAGTCTCCAGAGAAAGTGGAAACAGGGCTGAAACAGAGGGGATTATGGGTAATGCTGCAATGATCTGTTTGGTGTTTCAGCCAATCAGAGACAGGCTCTGTATATATCTGAGACCTGTGATATATTGATGAGAAACAGTAGAATAGGGGACCTTTAAAAAAAGAAAGCAGGTGAAGACAACTTGGTAATTATGAGATGCCTTTATTGTACTTTTTGGAATCCAGTGACACCGACACGAGAAAATGGTCCGATCCCTCCCTCCCTCTTTACATACACACCCTGAGAGGGAGGGTCTGCAGGGTGGGATGTACCGTGATCCCGCTTGTAGTCTTAAATTAAACACAGAGATAATAGCGAAGACACATCCAGGTGCACACGCACGACATGCATTCAAAAAGGGAGGAACTTCAGAGTGACTCCTGGTTCACATGTACGCTTTGTCTTTCCAGTAAAAAGACTAAATGAATACCACTTACAAAAAACCCAATAAAACAGTTAGCTGTCTTCATGGCCCACGATCAGTCTATAATTCAGGCTCTGTCAATCTTCCACTTCCAGGAGAAAACAAAACAAGAAGGCAAAGAGACACTACTATTCGTACTGGGAAAAACGGTTTAAATATGGAAGTGAATGGTCATAGCTTTCATATTTTAGTTTCATTTTTTTAAATTGGTTTTTAATGAATGGTATACTTTAATGAGGATACAATTGTCCCACTAAAAATCAGCTGATCTAGGTAAAACTAGGCCTCCTCCACCGACTGTCTCCCTGCTGTATCTAAGTAAAATATATAAAGTCCAGTCAAGGGGCGCAGTGTTGGTCCAATCAGGAGAGTTCCTTCAGTCCTCCTCGCTGCCACTGGGCGAACGCTCCTGGAAACAAAACACATTACAATTATTACCCAACAGAATACACTTACGTAAGGATGAAGACTGTTTTGAGACTTGTAAAGGGAGAAAGGACACTGTTTGCTAATTCTCTTCACAGCAAAGTACAAATGTGAGAGGCATTCTTATTGCTTTTGGAAATGTCAACAACTTCATCATCTTCATTTGTCAAATCCTCTAGAAATGTATAAACATGTGATCTACAGGACTTACGTTACGATGGTTAAGGTGTGAAAAATAGTCAGAATTCAATGATTGTCAAATTATTTTTTCCATATATTCTGTTGTCTCTGGTTAAGAGAAGAAAACCCTCACATTTGAGAAGGAAGTAAATGACTTAAACAACTAATAAACTTTGATTTTATTGAATATATCTTTTATATATTTACTCAGTATTTAAGCTTTA